AGAGGGCAACGATGTCAAATACCTCGTAGATGTCTGGTCGACAAATGGATCTAGGCTTTCGCCTGAAGAACATTAGAGGACACGACACGGGAGCTTCACTGGGCACGCACGGGCTTTGCCGATGTCCCCTCCGGCGGCGCTGATGCGGTGGAAGGAGGGGGGAAAGTCCTGGTGGCGCACGGGAGGGGGGGGGGCAGTTTTAATCGGACTATGGATCTTGTAAGCCCTCATTTTATCTATGGTCCTATGGAAACTTAGCAATTCATGTTTGCTTTCCTTTCTAATTGGTCCAAAATTTGTTCTGGTAGTTTTGCAAAGAGGGAAATAGTAGTGGAGAATGATGTTTTGACTCTCGGCCTCCGTGGAGGTCCAAAATTTGAAATTTTAGGTTTAAAAAAACTGAAAAAGTTGTACAAGTAAACAAGGATGTGAGGCGTATGTGTGTAACATTTCAGGATTAAATACGTTGAAATGCGACTTGTACAAAAAAGATAAATTCATGATATGGGAGGATGAATAGTATCATGTGTTAAAAAGCCTCAGATTTGTCTTTTTTGCACAACCCTCATTTCAACATATTTCGTCCTGAAATTTACACACTTGCGCACTATGCCTTCATCTATCTCTGTATTTTTTTTCAGAATTTTTTGAATTATAAAAATATGAATTTTCATGAATTTTGAATTTTACATTTGAAGGCCTATATGGAGCCCGACCTCCAAAAGCAATTTCCGATGGTAATGGCATTTCGCTGAATCGGCATAACTGGAGTGACATTTATCTAGTTAACCCCCAAAAGTAAAAATAGCAAAAGTTCCCAAGCTATTCAAGTCCGAGTTTTTTTGTAGGTTTGTATTCATTATTTGTCAATACTAGCGCACATTCTAGAAACCAACACTATCAAGAATGTCGAGAAATATGTAACATAACCCAACAGTAAATAAACACATGCTATTTTACTGCTAATTCTTTGCAATGTTTTGGTACAGGCTATGAATTGTAGTTTTTATGGTTTAACACCATACCAACTGTAGTTATAAGCAAGTACTCCCTCCAATTAAAACCACGACACTTATTATGGATTGGAGGGAGTATATGAAAATCACTAGAGTCCTAAAATCGGTTCCAACCTGAGATTAGAAGTGATCATGGAACGAAAATATCTATCTTGGGTTTTTAGGACAATGTTCACAATTTATTACCACATTTATATGTAAATCCATCCTTTTATTTTACACACTATTCTTTATTTCCCTAACTAATATTGTTTTTTAACTCCACCCATATATTAATTAATTAAAACAAATGTTCATACAATCATTCATTACAGCTATTGCCACGTTGGGGGGAACACTATTAATAAGAATACAATCAGACTTGCTAATAAAACTCAACTTCGCAATTAGAATGAAGGCTCGAGAAGAGTTCGGCTTTGAATTAACAAAGTCATCAAACCGGCAAGGAATACACAAGGCCACCAAGCATGAGCGACCAAAAGATACAAGGAAGAGGACTGGGCGACTAAAACGGTTTCTCATGTGCGCAAAAGGAAAACAAACTCCAGTTCAAGACGAGCTACAGAAAGGCTTAAGTGTAAGAGCCTGTTCAGTAGCTCTTTGATTGATGCTGCCACGTGCATCCGGTCTTGAGCTCCGGGGCGAAAGCCTAGGTTTTGAACCCCTAGCAACGGCGATGGTTTTTGTCGTTACCTTGTTAAAGGAATTGCTCGGCATGCTCGTACTGACTCTTCAGGATGAAAAACTAGATTCTAGCCTTGTTGGTTGGATCTGGTGATGGCGACTTTCAGTGTCGCTCCCTTCCTGAAGGCATTGTTGTTGAAGAAATTCGTTGTTTGTGTGGTGTCATGATATGGTTGGTGCAGATGCGGTCATTGTTATAGTTTGTCGATCATGGATTTGATCCCTTTGACATTTTTTCTTTTCTTTTTCCTAGCCTACGCATAACTTTGGTCTTATATGACTTTGCTAGCTGCTGGCTTTTTTAGGGTGTGTGTTGGTGTTGGTTGTGTGTATTTTAGCTATGCAGAGGTCGGGGGTGTGCTCATAGTGTTTTTATCCTCTTAATGCTCCATTTTAAGTCAATAAAAGCTGTCCTTTATCCCAAAAAAGTAGCTCTTTGATATCCTTTCCCTCTTTGTACTTCTTGCAACGCCTAACTCTACTCCAGAAACTCCTTTTAGCAAACTTTAAAGTGCTTATTGTTTCTAAATATGGGTCAACATCAGGATTTATTTGGACAAACATTAGTGTCTTTGCTTGTCCCCCTGCAATAGAATATTTGAAGAAATAATTATAATTATCACATAAAGCCTCCAATTGCATGATTTATCAGCAAGTAAACAATCGATTATGAAGAGAGCTTTGAAGAACTTGTGTGAGCTTTGCTGTTTCTGTAGGGCACATGGGCATTTTTCTGTGCCAGAGCAAAAATCACATCACCTAAAGCAGAGAGTGATTTGTTAATATGTTGAGCCTCTTTTAATCTATCTCCCGTTGCTTCGGACTGCTCTACTCTTTCCCTGCCAGCAAGATCAATGAGCTGTATACATCCTCTAGAGGTGGATCCAATATTCACATCCAACTCTATAACATGTACAGATAGAATACTACATGTAATAGTATATGTTTAACAAATCCATATTATAGAGAATAACGGTAAAAACATAATATGAATCCGGTTCATGGTTCAGTCAACCTGTGGGACCGGCTGCTTCTTTCATCTAGAGCTGTTGCACCAACTGCTCGATTTGCTAGTCCAATTTCCATTAAGTCTTAAACATCTGATGTTGATTTAGTTGGATATAAGCTCGCATCCGGTAAGAGTCCAATAGGCTGAGAAGTCTAAACATCAAGTGTTTATTTATGTTAATGAGTACCATTCTTACTTTACAATTTTAATAATAAGAATACAATACAATAAAATAGAGGTATGATTATAAGAAATGTAACGGAAAAAATATGTGCAAGAGTATTAAAGGATATTGTGTCCGTGCAGTATTGATTGACAAAAGATCATGAATGTGTTCGTTGTAAATCTCAACCATCTGTACCCCCACCTTGTACGAGAAAATATTTCTCCCACCTAGTAAAATATCAAATAGATCATTTAAATCCCTATAATTGACACCCCCAATCTTTCATTGATGTACTGGGTCCACTCTGGAAAAAGATAGAAAATAAGACATTGATAATTATACAGTGTACGGCAAAAATTTAAACATGATTCTCAAGACTAGAGTCAGCAGCACAGTGTAAGTTTTTTCAAAACCAGTTTGACAATACACAAAAATACACACCTTGAATCCATCGAGAACTGACCAATTCAACGGTTGAGTGTCGGAAAAACTTGGCTGTGGCTAATTAGAGAATTATTAATAAGAAGAAATAAAACTATTATTATAATAAAATTATACTCTAAGAAGCATGAGCTAAACACTTTGCTAAACTCGACATCCAGTGTGCATCTTTCCTTGCTTCAGTGGATTTGAAATCAGAAGCTCACCACTTTCACTAATGTATTTAATAGTAGTTGATTTTTTTATCTTGGTCAGGAAGAAATGGTATTACATGACAATGCACATATTTCATAAAAATATTGTCTAGGAAAGAGAATATTTTCAAAAGAGAATATTATATAGGAAAAGAGATTATTTCCAAGTGTTCACATAGTTCATAAAAATATTAATATTTTAAAATATATTTAAATACATTCTCATATAGTTTTAGAAAAATATCGTATTTTAATAAAATATTCATGTCTTATATAAAGTGTTCATGCGTTTGGAAAATGTTATGTAGATTTTAGAAAATGTTCACATGTTTTAATAAACTTTGTGTGGTTGCAAAAAGATAAATTTTTGAATAAAATTAAATATAAAAATATGTATGTAAAATTAATCAGGAGCCTAGTGTGGCCCCAGACTATCATCCTCAAATGAAGATTGTTTCAAGTTATGCATACATTTATATAATTCACAAATATTATTTTAATTACATGTACAAAAAAATTAAAAAGCAAGTTATTTTTGTATGCATATTATTAATTAATCAAGTATATTTGAACTTGTATTATGACTATGACTATAATTTACTTTTACAAAATTATTAAAAAAACTAACATGTGGAATATGGGCCACACAGAATACGGGTTCGGCTCCTCTGCAGCTGCGTTGCTACTGTTGTCTAAAAAAAATTCTACTCCGTAAGGTGCATTTCTACATGTTAGTTTTTCTTAGCTTTGTTACTACTCCTACTATACTACCTTTCCTGTAGTAATTTTTTAGCTTGCTACTATCTGTTCACTTGCTGTTACATGTTCTGCACTATTTTTTCTAGTAGGAGTACTACTCGTAGTGAAGGCAGAGAGGAACGTACTTCCTCCGGTCCTTTTTAGTTTGCATATAAGATTTGACTGAAGTCAAGCCTCGTAAAGTTTGACCAGCTTTGTAGAAAAAAGTGTCAACATTCACAATCTGGAATCAATACCACTAGATGTGTCATGACTTAAAGTTTCATATTATATTAACTTTAGCATGGCAGATGTTGATATTTTTTCATATAAATACGGTCAAACTTTGTGAAGTTTGACTTCAGAGAATTCTAATATGCAGAGTAAAAAGAACCGAAGGGAGTATGCATCCTTGTAAGTCTCCCTCCACCGTGTTATCTTGTCCTTCTTCACACGTCCCGACCGACCGTGCTCCGGGTGGTTTGGAAGGGCGCGGTGGCGGTCGATCAATTAGCTCGGTGCATCAAGGCCGCCATAAATGTCCCACCACCCTCCCAACGGCCATCGCCTTGGTCCTTCCCCTCCCCCATCAAGATGACAACCAAAGCCTGCTCGATCTGCCTCCCCCATCAATGCCCGCACCACCACCTCCGCCCATCCTTTATATCACTCCCCTAGAGTAGCTCTCCCATTCCACGCCACAGCCCGCTGACACTCGCAGCTTACATCACAGACCAATTAAACAAACAGCAATGGCCGTGGACAACGGGGACGCCGCCATGGCCGTCGCGGTCACCGGCACGCGCACGGTGGCGCCGGCCAAGACCAAGGTCACCCTCGCCACCTTCGACCTGCCCTACATCACCTTCTACTACAACCAGAAGCTGCTCCTCTACCGCCTCCCGCAGGGCGCCGCCGACTTCCAGGACGTCACCGCGCGCATGGCCGACGCGCTCGGGGACGCGCTCGCCTACTTCTACCCGCTCGCCGGCCGGATCCGCCAGGAGAAGGGCGACGGCGGCGCGCTGTACGTCGATGGGGAGGAAGGCGCGGAGGTCGTCGAGGCCGCTGCCGAGGGCGTCTCCGTGGACCAGCTCGCCGGCGAGGACTGCGGCGAGGAGGCGGAGAAGCTCATGCAGCAGCTCATACCCTACACCGGCGTCATGAACCTCGAGGGGCTCCACCGCCCGCTGCTTGCGGTCCAGGTATGCACCGCCGGAGCTCCTTACCTTGATCACTTAGCAACCGTAGCTTTGGCATGATGGTACGGGAAAGGGCGTTCATAACAGCAAGTTCCGGGGAACGAAATCCTTCGGCCTCCTATTATTTTCGAAAATACTGATGGGCGAACGTTCACTGGGAGGGTGACTTAGAGCCGTTGGATCATGATCAAACGCGTGCCATTTTTTAGAGAAACAATTACACTGCATCGCTGGCAATTTTGCCATGGATACCCAGTCCTCAGTGAAAAAGACACCGTGAGCGTCATCTTTTTCATTAAAACCAACAAAACCTAAAGTCATTTCGTGTCAGGGGTATTAATTCCTTGGTATGTACATGAATACCAAAGAAATTCCACAGCCAGTGTATACTGTAGCTATATTGTTGGTATTCAGGCAAAAAAATAATACAATGAATACCAAGCAGGCGATTCCTTCCGCACTATTGTTTCGCGTTCCCCTTTTAACTTATCGACTACTATCCGGGAGTGGATATGATCTCCCAGACATACGCAATGATTTAGCTAATGCACGGAAATGCATACCATGATTTTGAACGAGCTCTTTCTTATACGTGCAGGTTTTATGAGCCTTTTGCTAACAAAATGAAAAGGGAAGAGACAAACTGTAGTGCCCGTTAGAACATCTATGTGTAGTTTTCATGACCATTTAATTATAATTTTTGACAAAAAGAATTTGAATTAAATTTTATGAACAATAAAATACACAGACTTTTTAGGAACCTATTATCGTGGATCATCTCTAAAAAATAATACTGCCTACGTCTTAAAAAGCTTGTTTTAGATTTGTTAGATTAGATAAATTTAAGACAAGCTTTTTGAGACGGAGGTAATATATAAAAAATCCTGGCATAAAGTCACTGATCATTGGGAAAAATGATAAAAGCAAGGCCTTGTTGTGAAATTTGGGCTTGTTTGCTGGTCGCGAACAAGCTATGAGGCATCGAGCACATGTGGCCCCGCCATATGAGCGGGTGACAAACCCTAGCGGGTAACCTGTTAGACCATTTTAGCGGTGGCGGTGGGTAATAGTGGTCAACAAGGGGGCAGTTGAACAGGGGCGGATATCTTTAGAATCCGCCCTACCTTATAAGCATGGTTGGAAGATCTACACATTCGGCAATGGTCAACGAGGGGGTAGGTGAATAGGGGCGGACATCTTTAGAATCCGCCCTACCTGGCTACCTTATAAGCATGCTTGCAAGATCTACATATTCGGCGCATTTTAAGTAAGTGCTAGTAAATCTCTGAAATACTACAAGTATATATTACTCCCTCCATCCATAATCTAAGATGTTTCTTGACACTACACTAAACAGAGAATTCGCTCGAATTTGTCGCCACAACTATGCAAGGTTGACTATTTTGAAATATGAACATATATTTGTCATTCCTACGAATGGCATTGTCACACCCATGTCTTGCCGACAGGTGCATTCTGGGGCCGCATGTCGCTGAAGAGGGAATGCCAAACACTCAAATTACTATACCGTTTGAAATGGCAAATCCGCAAATGTTGATCCAATTGCTACACTGCTGGCTTATTAGTTAGGTATAGTATATAGCCGTATACTTTTAAGATTTGTTTTAGGACAGTATACCTTAAGATGTTCCCGCAAAAAAAAAAGTATACTTTAAGATGATCACATAACAAACTGCAGAGATCTACTGCTGCAGTACTGAGGTTGTGCACCGACGCATTGCCTAGCTGTGCGATGTAAATATAAGGGGCAGAATTCTGATTCGGACACATGCACGGTTGGCGTGTAAATTTATCGGCCGACAAACTAGTAGGCCAGCATTATTGATCGTGCATAGTAGGAGTAGATCATTGCGCGTACACACACTATTTGCGTTCATCTTTCTGCAATTCAATTTTCATATTGAAATTTGCCCTATCCTTCATTTTGTTCAAATTTCCTCAAACTGAAAGTAACGGAGTTGGATTGCAGTTCACCAAGCTCAAGGACGGCCTCGCCGTGGGCTGCGCCTTCAACCACGCCGTGCTGGACGGCACCGCCACGTGGCACTTCATGAGCTCCTGGGCCGAGCTCTGCCGCGGCGCCGCCGCCCCGTCGGCGCTCCCGATCCACAACCGCGCCATGGCGCGCTCCGTGCGCGTCGGCCTCACCCTCCCGGCCTCCGCGGAGGCGCACGAGAAGACGGACCCCAATGGGCCCAAGAAGCCGCTCGTGGCCCGCGTTTTCTCCTTCCCGGAGCCCGTCGTGGCCCGCATCAAGGCCGCCGCCAACGCGGCGCTACCCCCGGGCGCGAAGCCCTTCTCGGCCTTCCAGTCCCTGGGCGCCCACATCTGGCGGTCCGTCTCGCGCGCCCGTGAGCTGGGCCCCGCCGACATCACCGTCTTCGCCGTGTTCGCCGACTGCCGGGCCCGCCTCGACCCGCCCGTGCCGGCGACGTACTTCGGCAACCTCATCCAGGCGGTCTTCACGGGCGTGCCCGCGGGGATGCTCCTGGGCGGGCCGCCGGAGCTGGCAGCGGGTATGCTGCAGAAGGCCATCGGCGAGCACGACGCGGCCGCCGTGACGCGGAGGCTGGACGAGTACGAGGCGGCGCCCAAGCTGTTCCACTACAGCGACGCCGGGCCCAACTGCGTGGCCGTGGGCAGTTCGCCGCGCTTCCGCGTGTACGACGTGGACTTCGGGTTCGGCAGGCCGGAGCGCGTCCGCAGCGGCGGGAACAACAAGTTCGACGGGATGGTGTACCTGTACCCGGGCCGCGGCGGCGACAGCGGCGGCATCGACGTGGAGCTGGCGCTGCAGCCGGAGCCCATGCAGAGGCTCGAGAAGGACGAGGAGTTCCTGCAGGTCGCGGCTGCCTGATCACCTGCACGTCGCTGCTTGCATTATTTAGTGAGCTTAATTAAGCAAAGGTTTGTGATTTAGCCAGCTTCGTTAATTCGATGTACACTAGTGCATGTGTGTTTGCTTGTTACTGCTACGGCCTACGGATCTGTTCCGGTTAAATAAGGATCGATCGATTAGTTTGTGTAAGATCACCATCCTATTTGTCATGTCATGTACTCATGTCACACAAATAGTCATGTAATGTACTATATGTAATCCGCCTACAGGATTTGCATATTTGTTTACACGTACTAGGCTTATCCCTTCTGAATTAAACTACTGTGTTTCTTTTTCATATATTTTTAAAGGGGAAATCCTTTGGACAACGCTAACGCCCACCAGTGGTGGTGGAGCTAGCATTTGACAATAGGGTGGGCCGCCCAAAAAAAATGAGTTCGTTCTTCGGCCACATCTGCAGTCCCTGCACATCTGACTTGAACATACTAGCTTTCTTCCCTATCTTCCTAGCAATGTCTCTCAAAAATAGAAGCAAGGTTTCTGGTGCTCTTTTTTTTTCAATAATTCTGCAGGAATATGGGTATGATTTCATCGGTACATCTATTTATGTGCTGCATCTAATTAAATTCATCCACAACTAGAAAACAGAACTCATCTATGTAATATATAACATTGCATCTCTGTTTCCATTCCCTGTCAAGGGTCTGACAAGCAAAGAAATTTAACTGTAATCGGCCGAAGGGGATTTGAGGCCAGTACCTCTCCCTCAGCCTCCCAATCTGTGCGCCTGAGTGGACTGGGCGCCGTGGCCCGTGGGCGACTCGCCGGCTCCGGCAAGCAGTAGCAGGGCCAGGGCGGCTGCCGACTGGGCGCGCTGTTGCGCATGGCGGCCGGACGACGCGCGAAGCAGGCAGGGCCGATGCCCGCGGGCTTCAGGATGGGTCCTCCTGGTGGCCGGCGAGGCGACGCCACAACGGCAAAGCAAGGAAGCAGGCGGCGAATCTGAATCGAGCGAGACAAGGGTTGTGCGGCTGTCTCGTGTGGTGCGGTGTGCCTGTGCGTTGTGCGTGCAGTGTATTCGGCCTTCTTTCTCCCCCGGCCGCTCTTTCTGGCAGCACTTGCTGGACTTCTTTTCCCCTGGCCCATGTCTTAATAATCCTAGGCTGGCTCAAAATCCCAGGGTGGGCCGCAGCCCACCCTGTCCATCCTGTGGCTCCGCCACTGAGGCCCACACGTATGGTGGGAGTCAAACCCGCCCACACGCCATGTCACCGCATGCATGCATGTGTAAATTTTTTGGATTTTCAGTTTTTAAAATGTTTTATCTCTTAAATGAAAAATCCGATTGAAGATCCTTTTTCACCATTAAATCCCCCGCGACGAGATCTTCGAAACTAGATCTCATATCGATATATTTCGACGAATTTTTTTTGGGTTAAAACTTGCCATGTCTATTGCACATGAATTGCCATGATATTTACACTGAAATTGCCATGATATGTTTCAACTATTTTCTTTTACATTTAAAAGTAAATTTTAACATATTATAAAACGGGGAATTAAGAAACTAGACTTGTCATGCACCATGAACTAAAATTGCCATGATACATGCACTTAAAATTACCATGGTTCATACAAAAAAATATTTTCATGGTTAAAGTACTGGAATTGGCATCATCAAAAAACTAAAATTGCCACATGGCAACTTTAGTTTAAGCACTATGGCAACTATAGTGTAAACATCATGGCAACTTCTGAGCAAAGAAAACTTCGTCGAAAGATATCAACATGGGGTCTAGTTTTGAAGATCTCATCGAGACGGATTTAATGGTGAAAACGGATTTTTAATTCACTTTTCTAATTAGGAGATAAAACATTTTTAAGCCGAAAACCAAAAAAAACTGCTGATGTCATCTATTCATACGTGGCAAAATGAGTGGTGATGGAGGCTTGTCGGCGATGTGTAAACGCCCACACGTGTGGGCGTTAGTTTTTCCGAATCCTTTTCATATTTCTGAAAAGCGATGCATACATCAAAGATGTTTATGGTACCACACCAAACATCACCATCACATTAGGTTTTTCCTTTTCCCTAGGTTTTTACCTAGCTAGGGTCTACCTTGTCCTTTGGCGGCGGCGGCGGAGTCCATGTAATCCAACCACCGATCGCTGGGGATTCCTCAAGGTTTGGTGGTTCTATCGTCCATGAGGAGAGACTATGTTTTTCATGGTGGAACCATACATGATGGAGGCTAGCAGGGGGGAAAGGAAGATGGGGTAGATGAGCCGCGAGCGTCAGGAATAGAAGGGAGTCGCGGGAAGAGAGGGATCGATGATTCCTCATATGATCCGCAGATCTGCGATGAGAAATTCGGGAAGGAGCGGGCAAGCAGCAGCAAAGCAAATTGGGAGGATGTTGATGGGGATGAGTGGGATTACTACTGCCCCGGCCCACATTAGGACAATTTTGATGGGCTGAACACCTTCATGGTGAGGAAGAAGAGGATTTGGATCTCTCAGGAGAGGTGGAAGAGTTGATCAAGGATGTAAGGTGGTCGTGGTTGTTTAGGGTTCATACAAAGCGACTCTTCAGCCATGTCACGCTGCTAAACACGATGAGGAATGCGTGGGCGTCGGCCCAGGGAGTGGCCTTCAACAAAGATCAATCTGTTCCTAGTCTAATGACACTGCTTGGGTGACTGGAAATGAGTGATGGATGTGAGGCCTTGTCTATTCAGGAAGGGTCATGTGGTTATAGTGGAGTGTGATGGCTTCACGAACGTGTCTGACTATGCCTATGATAAAATCCAGGTCTGGGCAAGAACCAAGGGACTACTCGATGGTCTTAGGGGGGATAAGGATTTGGATGTGAAGGTTGGTACGGAAGTGGGAGAACCAACGATCACGGTGGTGGTCAATGAAGGAAAGATTAATCCGTCAAGCTTTCTTCGTGCAAGAGTTTATGTTGATGTCAACAAGCCACTGGTGAGATTTGTGCCAATCACTTCTATGGAGACGAATAAATGCCATGTTTATTATGAAAAAACTTCCAGATTTTTGCTTCTTCTGCGGGTGTATGGGCCATGTGGTGGAAGAATGCGGTGATGGTATTGATGATCGCAACTCTTATGACTGCGGAGATTGGCTACTCTGGGACCTTGAACCAAGTGGTGGTGGCACGAAAGGAGGTAGAGGGAGAGGTTTTGTGGACGGTGGGAGAGGGGGAGGCGAGTATGGAGGAGGGTGGAGATGAGGACCTAGGGGAGGAGGTGGTAGAGGTGATCAAGTTGGTAGGAGTAATAGAGGAGGAGGTATAGAGATGGTTGGTTGGGAGGGTACAACAAGTGACTCTAGAATCTTTCTGGATACAACCACTGAACCGGAAAATGGCCACTATCATTTTCCGAGAAAATACTATCTTGTGGACTCAGGCTCTAGGTTTATGCCTTGATGTCTTTATCCTTACTGTGGGGAGCGGGACCATTTGCGTGATTCTAGAGAAGCAGGGGTTGGTTGGATGCGGGATCTACTCCTCGAGGAGCAATACAGACGTAGATGATATCATCACGACCTCTCTTTGCGTACTATAGGATTCCACTATGTATTGTCTATGAATTACATCATAAAAGGCAATGTGATAAAGCATCAATATAATAAAAATAATAGAGAATTAATTTTTTTTAAGTTGAAGCAAGAACTACAAATCTAAAGCAATAATAAAGAGCCGTCCGGGTTAATAAGACTGAGAAAATTAATATGGAAAGCTCCGTTGCGGGATTCAGACCTAACCATTCAAGGAGAGGCAGTGGAAACGACAGAACCTATGATTCCATATGGTTTTATTGAAAAGAATCCTAACACTTCATTAGGTGGGATGGCAGAACAAACCAAAAAATTCTCTTAATGGTAAGTTTATAAATTAGCAAACAAGACATGATTGAGGAGACGATGAGGATGCTGATTTTGACGGGTTGGGCCTAACATAGTACAATGCATGACTGGAGGGGCATATTGGGAGAGACTGATCAGGGAGGATGGTACAGTGAATATCCAAGGTCAACTAGTGCCACATTTGGCAGGCAAAGTTGCGGGTATTGTTCTTCTTCTTAGTCACTATGGTAATGGAGTGGGTCACTCAGGTTGCTCTATTCCTCCGACGGGCACTGCAGGGAAGGACCCTATTGTAAAGAGGAGGCAGCGGGGCAATGGTGGTGATTATGTTGATACTGTTAGGACAAATGTGGCGAACTCCCTCAAGGAGGGCCGCTGATTCAAATGAATATTATAAATTGGAACTTATGGGGACGGGGAAATACCGGACACTTCGTGAGTTAGTGACCTTGTTTCAGTCACATTCCCCCATGTTCATATTCTTATGTGAAACTAGACAAAAATAGGTCAAGATGAAGAGAATCCATGACATATTGGGGCTTAAAGGTTTTACTAGTGTGCATAACAATGGCTTGAGTGGTGGCTTAGCACTTTATTGGCATGAATCATACATTTTTTTATATTGTGGATAAGGAAGAACATTATATTGATGCTTTGGTCAGAACTCGCGAAGGAGCTGACCAGTGGAGAATAACTTATGTCTATGGAAAGCCCCGCATCGAGAATCATCATCTCATGTGTGGGCAAAACTTCAAGCTTTAAAGAACACATGTCATCTCACATGGTTATTGGTTGGTGATTTTAATGAACCTTTATGTGACATTGAGCATGTTTCCACAACCCCTAGAGCTGAATCACAGATGATTACTTTTAGGGACACGTTGGAGATATGCGAAGTGGTTGACCTCGGATTTCTAGGCGTTCCCTTCACATATGCTAATAAAAGGAGTGGAGAGGGTAACGTGAAGATGAGATTGGACATGGTGGTTGCTGATACGTCTCCAACGTATCTATAATTTTTTATTGTTACATGTTGTTATATTATCATTCTTGGATGTTTTACAATCATTTTTAGCAACTTTATATCATTTTTTGGGACTAACCTATTGACATAGTGCCCAGTGCCA